GTGCGTGTATGTGTGTGCGTGTGCGTGTGCGTGTGCGTGTGCGTGTGCGTGTGCGTGTGTGCGCGCGTGTGTGTGTGCGCGCGCGTGTGCGTGTGCGTGTGCGTGTGCGTGTGCTTGTGCGTGTTTGTGTGCGCGCGCGTGCGCGCCCGCGTGTTTGTGTGCACGCGTGTGCGTGTTTGTGTGCGCGCGCGTGCGCGCCCGCGTGTTTGTGTGCGCGCGTGTGCGTGTGCGTGTGCATGTGTGTACGTGTGCGTGTGCGTGTGCGTGTGCGTGTGCGTGTGCATGTGCGTGTACGTGTGCGTGTGCGTGTGCGTGTGCGTGCGCGCGCGTGTATGTGTGCATGTGTGTGTGCGTCTGCGTGTGCGTATCAGCGTACGTGTGCGTATTGCCTGCCCGTATATCCGTTTTATGCGCATCTGTTATACACCCGCACACAACGGTTATTAATGGCATGTCAACAGATTTCGAATTTTCGTAAACGCTCCTGCCCAATTGAGCAAGTGATTCTATTTTAAGCTTCACTCTAAAACCTGACACATTCAATCGATCGTGGTCGCCCAACCGTCATATCACATTTTGCTCTGTAACCAATGTAAACGCTCTTTGCTCTGCAAAATTTTGTTATGTCGCAGCTATTTTAGGTTTTTACTCGTTTTGATTAAGACAAATCAGCCAACCGACGCTGCGATAGCGTGAAATTTATTGCCATAAATGAACGAACTCGTTTTTCAAGTTAGAGTGGATTTAAAGGCAATTTGAGCACGAGTATTCTGGCCTCTCTGCATTCGCATTCACATGCAGCTGGCGCCCCGATTCAACGTTAAAATCTCACCACTTATTCCAGATTTTTCGTATTCGTCACGAGGAAAATGATTCCCCACTAAAATATTTATAGAAGAACGTGGGAAATGTGGGAAGGAGGCTGGAAGTTCACAAACGTATATATTTAAAATCTAGTTTTCTAGAAAAATCTAATCTTTCTAATAAGCTAAACTTGTTTGTGAATGCGCATGCGTATTGCCCACACATCTCCAGTTCTAATACCTCATTGCAACCGTGGGTACTAAGAGTGGATTTTTCCAAACGTTTTCGTGTCAGGAAATTGGGACGCTGCTGCGAAAAATGTTTTGGCTAAATCTCCGTCCAGTGGACACATGTAAGTACGTAGAAAAATGGCCTCTCGCCACAGGATCCCTCATTAGTGCAGAATAATACAATTATTATCTATTATTCTCTTGTTAAAAATATTTATATATTTTATTGATCATACATATATATATATATATATATTATTGCTGTTTTTATATTTTTCGTGACAATTTGTGCTAACCTTGTTGAACAAGTTGTTGACAGTTGACAAGTTGAAGCGACCTTTTTACGTTTATAGAAACAAAAATCAATTAGTAATTGAAGTCCGATGTTTGTGTGGAACAGACGATTTGCAGGAAATATGGCAGACAGATGTCTAGGCAACTGCAGGGAGCGTCATATTGCAATGCAACATCAATGCAATTATTTATTAATCGTGAAAATCCGGTTTCCAGTATGAAATGGTATCGGAGCAATTAATGCTAACATTATATCCTGTTATCGTTTACTTGTGTTGCCACCGATATATAACTCGTGCCTCAGATATGTTCACGTCTTTTTCTGTGTTGGCCGTTGTTATGGCAAGCAAATTCCCAGGTTGAGTTCGCCAATTATTTTGCCTCGTCATTTGGCCGATAGCATGTATCGAGGCGTTATGGAATTTGCATCAATTAGCATCGCGTCGTTAGAGATTGTTGATCGTGTTATGTTACATTAAACTCAAGGAGATTTCTCCTGTTAGCAGAGAGAGGGGGAGCGAGAGAGAGAAGGGGAGGGAGAACGAGAGAATGAACGAGAGAGATAGAAAGAGAGCGGGAGAGACAGAGAGAAAGAATGATTCAGAGAGAGAGAGAGAGATGGGGGAGAAGGGAGCGAGAATGGAAAAAAGGGAGAATGATGGAGATAGATAGATAGAGAGAGAGAGAGAGAGAGAGAGAGAGAGCGAGAGAGAGAAGGAGAAACCCGGTACACGAGAGAGGGGGTTTCTCCGGCAGTGGACTGACTGACTGCTTAGCGGATCCGGAAGTCGTGTCGTTAGAGAGACCTTGGAGTAATCATTCTGGCGTCCGAATGATTACTCCACGAAGAGACGTTGATGCTGTTAGATCACATTAGATTCAAATAAATTTCTTATGCAGAGAGAGAGAGCGTGAGCTCAGAGAGAGGGGGGAAAATATACGCTCTCCTATGACACTATTTGTCATAGGAAGATTCTTCCTATGACAAATATTGTTGTATGTGTT